ATGGCGGCTAAATAAAAATTATTAATTAAATATTAGCAATAAACACCGCGTGGTTGGAAAGCATTTATGGCATGCAAAAAAACAAGTCGTAAAAAATGAAAGAAACTACGGCGGTGCAATTTATTTGGACGTCGTTGATGTGGTGTCGTACAAAAGGTCAATTTTGTTATAGATGATTGGAGTTATGAATATTTATTCCACTTTGTTATTTATGTCTGTGTAGATTGTATATATTTTTTATTTATTTTAAAATATTGAGACTATTGATTTTTAATAATAATATAATTTATAAATATTGTATAAATCACAATCAATATATTAATTTTGTAACTATCACGTCAACAAATTCCGTTTGATTGTAAACAAAATTGGGGGGTGAAACAGAGGTCAAATTAAAATCAAAATTCAAAAGCTTATAAAGACATTGGGGAGATATATTTTGAGCACAAAATACGATTAATTAAGTAAACAAATCAACATTTTCTTAGTTATATCAAAATCTATTACTATATAAAAACGCATAAAACTTTCGATATAAGATGCATATAATGTGGATTATACTTACAACTCTTAGTGTTGTATATAAAGTATCATATATAATTGAGAAAAACAATATTGGTTGACATCAATATTACCAATTGGATGTGATATAGAAATATTAACATAATCACCATGCAAGGCGTCTCGGAAATCAAGGCAAGGTAAATCTAACAATTGTGTCTCGACACGAAACGACGAGATATAGCAATCAATATCAATAAACACACGATTCTTAATTTTGTCGAGCCGCAAATATACGAGAGAACAGAGTCTTTGGTTCTATGTCTAGTCTGGCGTTTGTCAAGAGGAGAAATTAGCATAGAAGTGACAAATCGAACATCGACATCCGACATAAAATAGAAGGGTCAAATCCCATTTCTTTCGATTGTGATCATTTCCATGTCTAAATTTGGTAATGAAGAAGATTATTTCATCAACCAAGTGAGTATTATAATTAGATTTCTTTTATTTAAAAATATAAATTATAATTAATATTCATATTTCAAGCCTATTAAATATGTATGAATAATCTTCCTATTAATATTAATAATATGGAAAAGAATCAAAAGTCCTATAATTCAGATTAACATTAAAAAGTAAAAAATTTACCAAATGAATGTAAATTAGTAAAGATTGTGTAATTGGCTCAAGCAATCATAACAGATCGTAGTGTTGCACGACGTTCAAAAATGGTTATAAGACTCCAGTGAAGTCGGCATCACAAACTATTATAACAATCAATCACTTCTTCACTTTTATAGCGTGAATGCGAATAAGATTCTAGGGAGACGATTTTCAGCCTCTGAGACCACTTGCTGCCTGCAACTCTACCAAACCCGAAAGATAAGACACAAACCGAGAGAAACTTTATTACCAAGACATCCCAAAATTTTCCCCCCACCCAAATATATTTATAGCCTTATAAAGTCACGATTTCTGCATCTTTCGTCGCTGCAAATTGTGTGGCTTTTGTGAGAAAAAGCCATATCCAAAAAACATGACGCATGATTAGAAGACAATATCATATCCAATTTTGGATTGTATCACATGGGGACATAGAGGAAAACTCAAAAAAAAGAACAATAGAAAAAAATGATGAATAGGTTCTCAAAAAAGAAGAAAAAAAAAAAAAAAATGAAAGAAAAAGGGAGAAAAAAAAGAAAAATGAGAAAAGGAAGAAAAAAAAAAACAAAAAGAAAATAGAAAGAAGAAATGTATGAAATAAAAGAAAAAAATGAAAAAAAAACAAGAAAAAGAGGAGAAATTAAAAAGAAGAGAAGAGGATGGAAACTGATGCAGCAAAACATATACTACAATAAAAACAT